AGAGACAGAAAGCGAGAAATCACCCCCCAGGGGGGATGGTCACGCCACAATCCCTTCTCCTCCATTCTCCTCTTGGGATCTTGGGCACGCACGCACACGCGCCCGGCGTGAGTTTTAAGCCACCGGGTCCGGGATGCGAACTGTAGTCGACCACGTGGGAGTCCAGCGACGTAGCCATTATGCTAACTGCTGGTTCCCCAAGAAAATAATTATTTTTTTTAAAAAAACATTTAGGGGCCAGCAGATGGTGTAGCAGTTACATCACTGGACTCCCACATAGCCAACCTTGGTTCAAGTCTCAGACCCAGTGGGTTCAAAAATCACTCCAGGCATGTGTGCGTGTGTATATGCATGCCCAAGATCCCAGGAGGAGAATGGAAAAGGGATTGCAGCTTGTCCATTGTGGAAAGCAGTCAATTTGAAAACATGTGATTAAAACATGTGACCTGTAGGCACAAGCAGAAACATGTTCTTGTAAGCTACTCTAGCAGGGCTATTAAGAAACATTTACATACAAAAGCAGTATGTGCCTGCTATCAATGGTTGTCTTCCTGTTGTTGATATCCAATACCCCATACTGCCCAGTATTGGGCTAAAGGAAGTCACGTATGTTTATCAGATTGTCCCCCAAAAAAGATCAGAGAAATTATATGGCACCAGTCATTTTCAACTTGCTTTCTCACTCCCCCCTCCCATCCCCCCCACCCCCCACCCCCGGTCATTCTGTCCCTCTCTGGTCAAATTAAAATAAATAAATGGATTTTTAAAAAAAGATTTAAGTTTCTTTATTGTTATTAATATTATTTTTAATTTGACCAGAGAGAGACAGAGAGAAAGAGTGAGGAAGCAAGCCACCAGGTCTGGGTAGGCCATGTGAGAGTCCAGAGGCTAAACCACCACACTACCTGCCAGTCCCTGGACTTAGAGATTCTATCTTTCATTCTATATACTCCCACAAGTGCAGCTTAGGTTGGTGTTAAAGACCTAAAACAAACTATGACAAAGTGGGAAATTTTGATCTGGACCAGGGCAATGAAAAGCTAGAACTATTAGTATCAAGACAGAAGAGAGGGACCAGCAGTTAGCGTAATGGCTATGTTGCTGGACTACCACGTAGTCGACCGTGGTTTGGGTCCCAGACCCGGTGGCTTAAACTCACGCCGGGTGCATGTGCGTGCGTGCCCAGGATCCCGAGAGGAGAATGGAGGAGAGGGGATTGCGGTGTGGTCATCCCCCCGGGGGGTGATTTCTCGCTTTCTGTCTCTCTGTCTCTCTCTGTCTGTCTGGTGAGCGCATGCGCCCTATAGCAAAAACCTCTCAAAAAAAAATAAATAAATATTTAAAAAAATAATAAATAAATAAAATAAAAAGACAGAAGAGAGCCCAAGAACTGAATATACATAAAGAGGCTTTTGATTCAGCTTGCAGCTAAAGTAAGGGAATATCTCCTGGAGTAGATGATACTGAATCAGAAGGAGCCCACCAAGAGGAAATGGGAAAGGGTATTATTGTTATTATTATTTAGATATTTTTGGTATAGGGAAAGCGCACTTGCTGGCAAGACTGAGTGACAGAAAGTTAATCATCTGCTAGGTGGGATGGCCACCTGCAATCCCTACTCCTACATTCTCCTTTCAGGATTTTGGGTATGCACGCATACGTGCCCAGCATGAGTTTCAAGCCACTGGATCTGGGAACTGAACCATAGTTGACCATGTGAGAATCCAGCATCTTAACTACTCTGCCACTTGATAGTCCCAAGAAAGGGTATTCTAAGAAAGAGAACAGATATACAAAGACCTGGAAGAATGAAAAACTATGGGACCAGTAGTTAGTGTAATGACTATGTCGCTGGACTCCCATGTAGTTGACCGCAGTTCGCGTCCCGGACCCAGTGGCTTAAACTCACACCGGGCGCGTATGCGTGCATGCCCAAGATCCCAAGAGGAGAATGATGAAGAAGGCATTGTGGCGTGGCCATCCCCCTGGGGGGTGATTTCTCGTTTTCTGTCTCTTTGTCTCTCTCTGTCTGTGTGGCGAGCGGATGCACCCTATAGCAACAACCTCTTCAAAAAAAGAAAAAAGAAAAACTAGTCGTCTTTTTCTGTAAAATTCTGTTGGATAAAAAAGGGTAGATCTGGGAGGGGGTTGTTGTGTGTGTGTGTTTTCTGATGTTTCCTGAACTTCATGTGATGAGTAATGATTGGTTGGGAGAGAATAATAGGCATAAAAATCCAGGTAAATGAATCATAGGAGCAAAAGTGAAATAGAAGCAAAGAGAGTTAACTGAGACAACTGAGCTGGTCAGAATGGGAGGTTACTTAGAAGGCATCAATGAGGTAGGATTCCAACATACCTGGGCAGGGGTCTCTGAAGGAACCTGTCGACCTGGAGCCTAAGCAAGGGTCTCATCAGGCCTGCTTCTGTCCTGGGGGGAATCTGAAGGAACCTGTCGACCTGGAGCCTAAGCCTGGGGGGATATGGCCTCCCAGCATGATCTTCAGTGGAACTCTGGCCTACAGAGTTCTAGGCTCTCACTGTTCAGGCCCTCCCAACTCTTGAAAAGCCTCCCTAACTTAGCCCCACCCCTCCTCCATCCCCCGTATGACTTGCATCCTTACCTCCTTACTATCACCCCCCATGGGAATGTCACTTCTCTGAAGCCTCTCTTGACTTCCCAGATGGGTAGACAACTAGCTCCTCTACGCTGGTACAGAGGAGTTGCAGGCATGGAGAGACCTGGTTTATATGGGGCCTTGTAGAAACAGTAAAGGAGCTTAGGAATTGGCTTTTCAATCTAGAAAGGAGAGAACCAAAGTGGAAAGACTGATAACAGGAGCCTCTAAGGAGGCCATGGCAGTGCCCACACAAGTCATGGGATATAGTCCTATAGTGGTGGGAAAGGACTTAGCATAAGGTCCCATCCTGAGGTCTCCTCCTTAGGTTCTTCCCATGCTAATCCTTGCCCCTCCTTTCACCAGGATGAATAGGGGCTCCTCACGCATCACATGTTTTCATTCCACTACTCCCAGAAAGCCTTCTGGGGTTGTTTTGACTTCACACTGCACACTTTCTCAAAGGGCAAGCTTATGGAGAGCAGAGGCCAGAAGATTCCTCAGTGTAACCCCAGTTTCTGTAGTTTAAGGTTACATGAGGGGCTTCAATGTGGACTCCACCAAGGGCTCCCCACCTTCTGGAAGAGGCCATCCTCAGAGAGTTCCGTGCCCCAGAGGAGGAAGCCAAACACGTAAAGTGAACTATGTTGTGTATCTTCAAGGCTGTAGGGATAGTTCACATGGAGGAGGCAATGTGATGGTCAGGAGCCTGGAGGATGGACAGAACCTGGGGGAAGGGAGTAAGGGTGGAGCCTGGGGTGGAGCCAAGATCAAAAGCCAGGATAGGACCCCTAGGCACTGGTACGGGTACACCAGGCTAAGAACTCCTGCCTGGTCCCCCACCTTAGCCAGTACTGGAAGATAAAGGATCTGCATTCCAGTGGATCTTGGGTCTACCGGAGCTCTTGGGACTTGCACGCAATGGAAAGATCTGTGCAGCCAGCAGGGAAACAAGTGCCTGCTCGGAGGAAGATTGAGTCCCCAGTGGCGGGCATTTAGCCCCGCCCATTCCATGCTGGGAATCAGTTTCTGCGTGCCCCACCCCAGCCAAGCCCAGCCACAGCTGGGAGAAAGGAAGGAGCTTAGTACAAATATAAATACCTTTAATGAAAGTAATGCCAGCTCTGCAGAGCCAGGACTGTGGCCGCCCTAGTAGGACTGGAGGAGCGGCTACTGCTACCCAACCCAATTGGCTAGGCTAAAGGCCCCAGGAGGCAGGCAAATGCCAGAGCAGCTGCCAGCAGCGGGGACACAGGGGTCGGGGTGAGTGCAGGTGCGGTTGCCCGCAGTGTCTCCTGGTTGGTCTCTGGACCCGCTCCACGCTCCTGGACGCGCACCGGGGCTCCGCACAAAACGTGCAAGTTATCCGGGTGTGGGGCCCGGCGAGCTTCTTGTTGTAGTGACTCCCACACCGCAGCTGCCTCCTCTGGGCAGCCGGACAGGACCTGCGAGGCGCAGGCGTGGAAGTCATTCCAAGACCTGTTAAAGGAGGGGGATTAGGAGGATTAGGTGAGAGGAGGAGGCTTTGGAATGAAAAGGAAAGGGTCAGGCTCCAATAGCAGCGCAGTTTAGGCTGCTGTCTTGCTCCAGCCCATACCTGCAAATGGTCTCCATCTCGCCTCCGTGACCCATGCCGTCCCCCAAGCGTATGAGACACTTCGCGAAGCCCTGGTATATGGTGTCACAGCCGTTAGGGCCCGCTGCAGCTGCTGCCAGGGGAGGTACAAAGACTGGGGGGGTGGAGGTGGAGAATGGTTGATAGGATGAACTAGGCCCGCCCCCAACCCCCAGGGGCTTGTTTACCCGGGAGCACCTTGGGGACGTGACTCAGCGTGAAAAGGGTGCCCCAGGGAACTAAGGATGGGTATGTTTGGGGATCACCTGCCTGGGCCCCCTTCAAGGTGGAAGACAGTCTAGAACAAGGATGTACAGGAGAGGAAGGAGGGTACAGAAAGTAACAGGGAAGAGGCATTATGTCCGAGGGGTCCACTCGTCCTCTTAGCTTCTGGGGCCCCGGTTGGGAAGAGGTTAGTCCAAGTGAAGATGTAAAGACAAGAGGGTGATGGGGTCTGAAGGCTGGGGTCGGTGGGTAAGTCCGGTCTCTGCAGTCTAGACTAGCTTTGATTGGCCCTCCCACCTCATCTCTAAAGATGGGATACAGAGGATCCAGGACATACACCGGACCTCAGAGAATCTCAAGGATGGTCTAGGGGTTCCACCAGAGGCTAGGGCTCCCTTAGGGGCTGAGGAATTTAAAGGTCTGTCCCCTATAACAGGGGCTCAGTTCATGCTTCTTTCTATCCTGTAGCCACTGGTGCATTTCCCTGGAGCTCTCACAACTCTCCTGCAATCTGGCGTCCGGAGCGGGGAAGGCTGTCCCCCCAGCTCCCACACACTCCCTAAACCCAGTCTGGCTGGGACCCGGTGAGAAAGGGTGCGGCCAGGGCCAGAGCCAGAGCGCCCTCGCCCTCACTCACCAAGTGGCAGCCACAGCAACAGCCTCAGGGCACTGGATGGCTGCTGGTAGCAGCAGCAGCGGCGGCGGCAGCAGCGGCAGCAGGAGCGCATCGTCCCTGGCTGGGAGCCTTGTGCTGGGAGCTAGCAGCCTGGAGTGCAGCCCGTCGGCCCAGCCCCCGGAGGGTGAAGCTGTGATTGGATGGAAGCTGGGGGGGGGGCGGAGGGGCGGAGTACCAAAGCCAGCCAGTGGCCCCGCCTCCAACACCCAAAATGACAAAGGAGAGGGTAGGGACCTCAGAGAGTAGAACCGCCCAGAGCCACTGGTTGGTGCTGAGCTGGCCCCAGGATCCTAGCCCCAGAGATGGAAAAGTTCTGGGAAAGCAGGTGAGTAGAGAGTGGGTGCCCAGACCCTTGGAGTGGGTTGGCCTAGACAGCTCCACACGGAGAAAAAAGGGGGCAGGAAATAGGAAATAGGGCAGTTATCAGTTACACCAAAGACACACCAAAAGCACACATATACTCCATTTTATTCCAAAAGCATTTAATTGAATTTCTCAATGTTTTTCAAAAACAAAAAGATCCAAATTGGAGGTAAAAAGGAACATGGAAAATTCAACTTAGGTGGTATCATGATCTCAGGGTCATGCTCCAGGCATGGCAGAACCCAAGAAGGCACAACAGCTGCCCTGGGCCCAGCCTAAACCTGCTGGCTGCCACAACCTGTAGACAATGGTCAGTGCTCCCTGCCCCCCCATCCCCAAGCACCCCAGAGCCTGAGCAGGTAAATGGCAGACATGACCCTGCCTAGGCCTGTCTGCTAGCCTTCAATGCCACCTCAGTGCTGGGCAAGGCAGGCTTAGCTGCTAAGGGAGGCTGGGAGTCACAAGGCCATGCAGCATGAGGCTCAGTCGCCGGGCTGCTTTGCCAAGTGAGTTGTGTGGCTCTGCCTGCAGGAACTGGAAGAGTTTCTGACGCACCTGGGCCATAACGGAGCCCATGTGGTCCCGAGTGATGGGGTCACTGTGGTCCAGGTGCATCACAGCTTCTTCCAGGTAGCTGGGGGGTAAGGGAAAAGGATAGGGTATAGGTGGGCACCAGCAGATGGGAGCGCCCCCTGGTGGCACTGAGGCCCAGAGGAATGGGTGACAAGGAAGGCTTCTAAAGCCTGAGATGGGTGGGGGCAGAGGGAACTGGTGAAGAGAATTAAGGAGGAGAGTCATGTAGGGGTGTGAATCTAACTGAAACTGCTCCCTCCCCACCTCCACCCCTTCCAGCTCCTACCCCTCTCACTCACCTGAGCTTGAGGTCAGTCCTAGTGCCAAGGTCAGATGCCAACTGCTGGATGAGGGACAGGAGCACAGGCTGGGAAAGCGGGCAGGGTGGTTGCCCAAAAACCTGGGCTGGGTCCACAGTTTCACAGACATACAGCACCAGGTTCAGGTCAGTGGCTGTCAGTGCCTGGGGGAGAACAGGGCAGCACAGCATTGACAACTAGCATCAGGATGGGATGACTACTTGTCTGTGCTCTGTGGCCCAAGGGAAGATGTTCATGGAGTGGGGTACTAAGGACTCCAGGAGATGCTCAGGGACCCAGACAGTACTGTCGAGCTATATTATTACATTAGGGGATCAGGAAAGTTTTCCTAACAAGGGTGGGCATGAAGCAAGGCGGACTGAGGTGGGAAGACGAGGATCCAGAAGATGGAGCAGCAAGGGCAGAGGCCTGGAGGCTCAAAGAGAACCAAGAATGGTCCACTGAGGCCTGGTGATGAGTGAAATGTATGGGGCCTTGTCAGGAGATGCCTGACCCATACCAGGGACTAACCTGCTGAAAGGCCTGATTGAGGTGGCCCTGTTGCAGCAGCTGTAGGATATGAGCTTGCTGGGCCTGGCAGTCGAGGTGGGCAGAGGGGACAGGTGTGCCAGCAGCTGAACGCATGGCCTGCATGATGCTGGAGGTGACGGCAGCCTGCTGCTCCTTGAGCGCCACACTCACCTCCCCCTTAACAATGCGCTGTACCTGGGCTAAAATTGACTCCTGCAGGCTGCGAAGGGAAGTAGGCAGTGAGGTGGTCAGGGGGCACAGCCTGGCCTCTCCCAAGCCCACCATCTTGCCCAGTGCCCTGCCCACACACCTGCCCACAGCCACATGCAGCTGATGCTGCACCTCAGCCCGAACACTGCTGGACACAGTGGCTGCCATCTGCTCAGTGGCACCCTGCAGGGTGTTGACCAGGCCCCGCAGCTGGGCCAGCACAGGTTCCCTTGCCTCCTGTTCCCGAGCTTTCCGGCTCTTCATGTGGCTTTCCAGCTGCTGTAAGTCTGAGGGATGACCACAGTAGGGATAGCAAGAGAGAAGAAGACAGCCCCTCCCACCTTGGGTCATGTGACTCCACTCACATTCCTGTGTGCCCAGCCGGAAGCTATCATTGATCTGCTGGAACATGGCCTGGCAGCTCTTCTCAAAAGCTGGCAGCACCACACTCTGGAAAGCTTCACGGTAGGCAGCCTGCATTGGCCCCTGTAATGTGTCTGCCGCTGCTCGAGCGATGGCATCTGTCAAGTTCTGGGGTAGAGGGAGGGGCCAAATTGAAAGCCTGACCCTAACCTAGCCTGACTAGGCCTGCCAACACCCTCCACCCTGACACACACCCAGATCTGTGACCCTGAAGCACCTTGGACTTGAGCAGCTTAGAGATGTTCTCTTTCATGCTGCCCTCCACAGCTGTGAGTTTGGTGGCCACTGAGTTGCTCAGTTGGCCTGCCACAGGCTCCAGACTCCTGGAGACGCCTGGAGCAGGGGGAGAGGGGAAAGATGAAACCAGGAGCAGCCTGAGAAATACACCCACTCCCATTTGGCACACCTAAAGGGCGTCCCCAAGCTAAACTCACATGGAGGGACTGTCTTCTTGATCTCGTCCCGTATGCTGCGTTCTAGCCGCCCAGCCACTGCTGAAGACAGTGCCTGGGACAGCTGTTGTGTCAGCTGCTCCTGCAGCTGCCCACCCCGCTGCTGCCCCTCAGCCAGGGCCCGCTCTAGCCGCCGCTCTGTGCTATAGCTAAGGAATAGGCCTGGAACAGGTCCCCATTACTTGGGCCAAGAATGGTGTCCCTGCCCCTATAGCATGCTGTACTATCACTCTCAAGGATACGATCCTGCTCATGTCGGGTCTCGAGGGCACGTTCCACATGGCCGGTGACGGTGCTCTGCAGGCCTTCAAACTGGGTACACAGACGCTGTAGCAGCTCTTCTTGGCTATGCCACAGCTCTGCCAGCTCTCTCTGCTGTTGCCAAATCAGTGCTGGCCAGTCCTCAGGGGGCTCTGCTACCTGCTGACAGAAATGAGTCACATGAGGCCTGCCTCCTCTATCCCCACACCAGGAATAGGTATATATAGTCCTTACCCAACCTCACAGGGTGGGGTCCCATGAGGAGAATGAGTACTCGCTACTCACCTGGTGCTCTGTGAGTCGGGGTCCCATGGCTGAATCCCTGCCATAAGCAAGAAGCACCTCAGCCACGCCAGGCAGGCTGGAAACCACCCCTTTCCCTGACCCCAGGACCGCCCCCTACCCATCGTCCTTCTTGTTTTTCCTCTTGAGTTTAGGTGAGGTCCGAGGGGATCCCTTGGTCTTCCAGTCCTTGGAAGGCAGCCGGGGAGTAGGAACTTTGGTGCCGAAGCCTCCCGAGGCAGAGGCAAGGCTGGCCACTTCATCATCGTGGTCACTGTGAGAAGGGGCAGGTCAGGGTCTACCCACTTGCTGGCTACCCTTCTGAAGGGAATGGTGTCGGGTGGTGCCCACCTTTGCTCGGCACTGGCATCCTGGCTATCATGTTGCTGCAGCAGGTGATAAGGTGGTCGGTGGAAGGCTAAGCTCTTGTGCTTCTCCTGGAGGCCATTTCTAGGGCTGGGGGGACAGGCCGACTCAGCAGTGGAGGTTCTCACAATGCCTCTCCCACCAGCACACTTTCCCCCTCCAAGCTCACCTCTCCGCCAGGGTGCTACAGGTCTCACGAGTAATGTCAGGTGCTGTGGGCCAGACCTGACTGTCAGTGGTTGTGGCCTCTTGGGTTAAGGCTGCCTCCAGGAGAGAGGGGGTACTATGCCGATCCCCATCCCCAGGGCCTCCATCCAGGCCAAGCTGAGAACCAAGCTCAGGCCCTGGTCGGGGCCGTGGGGACAGCAGGTGTAGCGCTGAGGCAGCTGAGGCCATACTGTCTGGCTCAAGGCCCTCAGGAACAGAGGAACCAAAGCCACGGGATAGGGCCTCAGATGCGATCTCAGGAATGTCCTGGGACAGGGCAGTGGAAGCCGAGGAGATAACATCAGGGGAGCGGGTGCGGCTCGGGGAGGCCTGAGGTAGCCCCAGGGGCTCTACTTCCTGCAGCTCCAGGGACAGTGCAGAGGCAGCGGTAGGTACCTGAAGAGGGCCAAAGATGAAGGCTTGAGTGATAGAGGTGTGGGGGGAGGCACAGAGAGGAGGCACTGGTAATAGTGATGAGAAAGGGGATCGGAGAAGAGGAATGCAGGTCAAAAACAAGGCCACAGCCCAGGCACAGGGGTGTGGATGGGAAAGCTGAAGAGATGTCCTCCAGGAAATACAGGAGGTTGAGATGACCTCAGGAGACACACAGATGTAGTGTAGGGCTGGCATAAAGGGTGTGAGCTGCCATCCACCTGCTACCCCACTTCACACACACACACACACATACCTGCCCGGGCCCCTTGGGAGCCAATTTATCAGCTGGGCCTTGGAGCAGCCCAGGGATGAGGCTGCGAGGGCTTGCCTGCAGGCTGCTGCTGCTGCTGCTCATTGTCAGACCACTGTCCAGCTGCAGCTTCGGACTCAAGGTCAGCTCCTCGGGTGGCCTGTGGTGAGAAGGCTGAGGTGTCAGCAGCCAGAGCTTAGCATCACCTGGCACCAGCCTGGCCATCTCCAAGCTCTGACCCTCACCTCACCTGGCCAAGGAGGGGTCCACGACCGATGTGCTGCTCATGGCAGACACAGCTGTAAGAGAGCTGCTGCTGCTACTGCTGCTGCTGCTGCTACTGCTGCTGTTGCTGCTGCTGCTCGGGGATGCAGTGATCTGGGGAGATGCTGAGAATGAGGGCTGTAGCCTTTAGTCGAGCATTCCCAGGTCTCTCTACTGGGGAGTACCTGCTGCAGGGAGGCGCTGGGTGTCATGAAGGCATCAGGTGTCATTAACTTGGGCTTGGTTTCGCTGCTAAGATTGAGGAAGTCGGCAGGTGCGGGCAGCTCCACGATGCGTCGGAGGTCAGGCTGAGAACTGGGAGTGGCTGACCCCAGGCCCTCCGAGCCTAATTCAGGCCGAGACTCTCCGAATGCTGTGGGGGAAGCTGGCACATCAGTCTACTCTCAGAACCAAGTTCAAACAGCCTACTGTCCAAATCTCACCCTTGACTCACCAAAGT